TAAGTATTTCTCCTAACGCTATCCCCTCCCCTATCCCCTGATCCCCTGTTATCCCTCCACTAGCCCCCCTCTGCCCCCGACAGGTTCCAGAGTGTGATGTTCCCCTCCCTGTGTCCATGTATCCTCATTGTTCAACACCCACTTATGAGTGAGAACATGCGCTGTTTGGTTTTCTGTTCCTGTGTCAGTTTGCAGAGAATGATGGTTTCCAGCTTTATCCATGTCCCTGCAAAAGACAAGAACTCATCCTTTTTTATGGCCACATAGTATTCCATGGTGTATATGTGCCACGTTTTCTTTGTCCAGTCTATCTTTGATGGGCATTTGGGTTGGCTCCAGGTCTTTGCTATTGTGAACAGTGCAGCAATGAACATACGTGTGCACGTGTCTTTATAGTAGAGTGATTTACAATCCTTTGGGTAAATACCCAGGGTCCCTTTCAAGTCACTGACTTCAACTTGAGCTCCCACGGCCGCCTGTGGTTTGAATGAACTGCTGTGCCCCGATGCCACGAGCTTAAAGATGACCTTGGTTCCTGACTCCTCACTGGGGCCTTAGGAGGAAAAGAGCTCCCATCACAGCCCCTGAGGGTGGGCGTCCTCATGGCTTTTGTGGAACTCAGGCTTCCGGAAGCGGTCGCTGCCTGCAGTGTTTGCCGGAGGCCTGCAGCTCAGGATCACAAATGCCTCAGGGGTCACCCGCCTGCTCCCTTGACTCCACCAGAGAGAGGAGGTGGCGAGCTCAGCATGGCTGCTGAAACCCAATGTGCCTCAGTGACGGATCTCAACAAAAAAGGATTAGGTCTGGGTCTGCAGCACAGACCGAGCCCGGAAGAGGGAGGAGCCGGGCATCATGTCCACCATGGGATGGTTAGGAGGACCATTGTTCGAGATGACGGGGAGAAGCATCTCAGACAGACACGACATGAGAGGGTCCCAGGATGACTTTCCCCGAGCTCTGGTTAAAGGCAGCCAAGACAACAACTAACTGCTATTTAGAAACACCCTGTTGGCAAATAAGCAAATAGGTCCCATGACCCATTAAAGGGATTCTTTCTCCATGAGGAGTGACAGTCATAAATGAAGATAAAGGCCTCAGGGCTTGTAGGAGCCCTGTCTGACAGATGTACTTCCTAAGGGTCTGTGCTCTTGACAAGGCCACATCGAAGAGAACCAGAAATTCTATTTTGAGAGAATTGGGTCATGGTTAGAATTTGCATCTGGAAAGGCTGTGGTACTTCAGATGAGCTGGGACATAACACCCTTTAGCCTGAGCCCAGTTCACCTTGACAGATCCTTGGGGTGGCCCTTCTGGGGGTCCGCTCCGGTGGTATGTGCCTGGGACACTGGGTTCAGCCTGAGAAGTCACATCCATTAAATAGGAAGACTCCTTGCACCTTGCTGCCAAGAGCGGAAAGGAATAGCAAATGACTGTAACAAATGAATGGTGAGAGAAAATGTGCAAATGCACTGTCAAAATGCTCGGATGAGGGCAGGGTTCCCTGGACATGGAAGCTCCCAAAAATTAGAGAGGAATTTGTGCAGCCTGTCAGCGCAGAACTGATGAGCGGGTGGAGCCCTTAGAGGTTCCCTGCCCTCCCTGCATGCTTTCCTGAACGGTCCCACTGCTTAGGATCACCGAACGGCTGAGGTCAGGAATCTGCTCCGTGCCTCTTGCATCTTCAAGGGCAATATCATTTGCAAAGTCAGAGCCAATCGGCGCACACGGAGGAGTCCTGTGGGAGAACCTGGGACGGGTAATGAATCCAGACTCACTCCAGCTTGCTCACGTGACAAATAGTCTGGTACAGTGAAGGGGAGGAATGAAAGCAGGCTACAGCCCTCTGTGCACATTCCAGCGAATTTCCCAGAAGCAAGCACGTGCCGCGCAGGTGCCAAGCACAGAGCTGCCTGGGGAGACAGGCGAGGAGGTAGCGGGGTGTCTGTGTTTCGGAGGGGCGGCGAGGGGACAGAATGCAGAATTTCATTTTTGACGTTTTTCCCCTTGTAAGTGAGCAGGAGGAGTAAGAGGAAGCCAAACGTGCAGGAAACTTCCCCTTCTCTAAGGAACCCATTGCAAAGACAAGGTTTGACACTCTGAAAGCTAACAAAACACCGCCTAATGTGGCTTCAGAGCGCTCACGGACTTGATAAAAGAAGCCGGGGCTATTCTGCTGTGCTGGGCTCCCCTGCTGTGCTGAGCTCCCCTGCTGTGCTGAGCTCCCCTGCTGTGCTGGGCTCCCCTGCTGTGCTGAGCACAGGCGGCGCCTGCATTACAGAGCCTGCAGAGAAGGGGCTGGGTCTGCAGGGTGGTGGGGGCTGTCAGGGCCTCTGAAGCTGTGAGGAGGAGGCAGTTTGATCCTGCCACCCACCAGCTGGGTGACTTGAGTGCATCTTCGCCTTATCTTCCTGCACCTCAAAAGAGGACAGTTTCTAGTGGACTAATCACTTTGCAAATGTAAATTTGCAGATGCCAAATATTGAACCTAGGCGGTGGCCAGGCTCCGGGAAAACATTACGGCAAGGGTCTTTTCAGGATCACACACAATAAAGGACATTAAGGACACGGAGGGATGATGGAACAAATGCACCGGCCGGTGGATGTTGCGGGGAGGACGGCGCTGGATGCATGGCCAGGCCACCGTGTTTCCGGCACCAGGCGGCCCAGCAAGGTCTCCATGAGGTGTGAGGCACAGCAGGGCTAGGGCAGCTGGTGATGGTCTGTATCCCTGTGACCAAGAGCCCAACCAGGCCACGGGACGGCTCCAGGACTGGGTCTTGTGCTGATACAGCATGGATGTTAGTCTGTGCTTACTTGAGACACAGAAACACTTTAATGATCATTCTCTCAGTGCCTGAATAGAAGGAAAGGGACTCCAGGAATGAAGGCAGGCAGCTGTCTGCAGGGACTGGGAGTGTGTCACCCTGGAGGGCAAGTGGCCAGCTGTTGTTAAAAATATGCATAATTAACAAGAGGCTTCAACAGTAAATCCAAACTTTTTTTTGAGATGGGGTCTCACACTGTTGCCCAGGCTGGTGCCGTAGCGTGATCTCAACTCACCTCTAGCTCCTGGGCTCAGGCAACGCGTCAGCCTCTCGAGTAGCTGGGACTACAAGCATGCAACACCACGCAGAGCTGATTTTTATAGAGACAGGTTTTCTCCACGTGGCCCAGGCTGGTCTCAAGCTCCTGGGCTCAAGCAATCCGCCCGCCTCCGCCTCCCAAAGTGCTGGGAATACAGGTATGAGCCACCACGCTGGGCCATGAAAGAATTTGTAACATTTCCCTACTCGTTTATAATAAAACCCAACTCTAACTAAAAGGAAGTTAGTTCATTTAAATTAAAAATAATTTCATATGTTTACATTCATCTTTCCCACTGTCAATTCAACAGCTACTTAGAGAGATCATAAAAGCATGTCGCCCTGCAGAAACAGTGTAAAAGCTACAAGTAAAATATGTAATCGACGACCCCCTAACAAGGCGCAATTTGGAATTTTATCTACATCACGATCTATGAAGTCATGGCATTAACAGACCTGATTCTCCTTTTATGGAAACCAGTAACGGCCAATAACTTCCCCTCATTTCCAACTCCAGCGGCTTCCCTCCCCTGCCCTTTCCCCCCACAAGCTGAATTTCTTCAACTACAGAAATGACATCAAATGGAACTCTACAATTCTTCAACTCGAAATTTCCCCATAGAAAAGGGTTGTTAGAAGAGCTGGGAAAACCATTTCTGTGTTTATCCAACTAGGATTTGCAAATTTCAAGAGTTGAGATGGACAGGATTATAATCACCATTTAAGCTCCTAAAGTCAGTCCAGTGATGATCTCCTGGTAAAAAAGAAACTCACAGTATATTTGCTGGGGGGTCTGGCAGCAACAGAGGGCAGAGGAAAAGGAAAACTCCAGCAATGCTGAATCTTGGTAATGACAGAATGCACTGCCTGACTTTTTCCTCCCACATGATGGTAACTTACATTTTGTAGGATTTTTACAGATAAACCATGAATCCACATATATTTAGTTAATCCTCACAGCAACTCCATAAGGTCAGTGTTTTTTCCATTTAAATAGGTGAGGACAGGCTTGACCACAGAGGTTTAACCAGACTTTCATCATTGGTTACTGGTCAGAAGTATAATACACTTGTATACATGTTCTATCATGTTGAGCCTTCTGTGTCTGTGATGTAAGCAACATATGCAGCTCTAGCCCTCATTTTAGAAGAATGGACGCTCACGCAGCTGGTACGAGGCTCTGCTGGGCCTTGGAAGGAGCCTGGACAGCCATCCAAGTGCCCACCACACTGTCCAATGACAACACTGATTTGGGGTGACGGTGGTGAAGAGTGGCTTTGTCTCTGCCAGACATAGGAGCGGCTGTAATGTGACTGTCCTGGGGCAGTAATAAAGAGAGGGAGGGATCCTGGAAGTCAATGGACATTTGCATGGGAAGGTGGGTGGTAACTTCCCAAGCTTTCTAAGCGCCCTAGGTAGGGTTGCCAGACACAATACGTGATGTCAGGAGTGCCCCGTGCAATGTGGAAGCGCATACTTACAATGCAATCTTATTTGCTGGCTATCTGAAATTCAAACATGCTGGATATCCTATACATTCTTTTGGCTAAGTCTGGTGGCCCTACCCCCAAGGGTGAGCCAGGCTTCTCCTTCACTCTCATCAATATGAAACAGATGCCTCTTTATTACGGTGACAATGATCTTCAGTGGCGAGTGGAGACCTCGACTGAGACAATTTCCTACTTCCTCTCATTTGAGCAGCCTAAAGTCAGAACTGGAATAGATTTCAGTATTTCCAAAAGTTTTGAATTTGGAAAATCATCTGTTACACAGCTGTTAGCCAAGGCTGACCTCTGGCACTGAACTTGTAATGAAATCCAGACTGTCCCTCTGTGGCACACCTCAGAGATGGCACCGAACCAAGCGTCCCACACCAGGCTGACCCCGCCGCCTTCTTTGAGTAGAAGAGTCACTTACTTGTATGGGATGTGTTTGCTGCCATTGACGAGTGCCAGGATGACATTGCCCAGAGCAGACAGTGAGAGGCACAGCCCCGAGCCTCCGTCCCGATTTTTGCTAAGTGCTTTCACACAGCTGCCGAGATCGATGAGATGCAGACGGCTGCGACCTCCAGACACTACCACGGGAGAGAAGACAAAAGAGAAGCGGTTACGTTCTGTCACTCATCTGCTCTGCATGCAGCTCCTTGGGAAATCTGAGGAACAATGAAACGGGGACGGAAAAGGTTGAAGTTCACGACCCAGTAGGAAACGCCAGCAGAGCCAGGCTGGGTTCCAGAAGCGCTGGTTCTCGCAGATTCTTCCCCCACACGCCAGACCTTCTAGAGTCTGCGACATTCATACTGCAAACAAATGAATCCGGATGATCCTTGTAGGCTGGACTGAATGAGATTTCGGAGAAAATCGATGTCTAATTAAAGGAGGATACGTTTCTACCCGAATGTCACTTGAACAGCAGAATTCTGAAACTCATCAAGTTAAAACCTGAATGGCTCCTGAGTGATTACCTGCTTTGGTTGATCATTTCACAGAACCCAACCCAAAGCTCAGCCAGGAATCGGGTTGCAAACCCAAGGCAAAAATCAGGAAGAAACAACGAGGTGCAGACAGGGAAGACCCAAATATTTGCTGAGTATCTGCCAAGTGCCAGGCGGTACACAAACACCAGTCTCATTCAGCTCCCATGATAAAATCATAAGCTCAATACTATTATCCTTTCTTTGTTGATGAGAAAATTACAGTTCAGAAAAGTTAAGTAAGTTGCCCATGAGCACATCCACTGCTGAAGTTCAGGGAGACCAAGGTGCCAACAATTTACAAGACAGACTGCTGCCGAGGAGAGAACTCCAGAGATCTGCAGGAGGTCCCTCAAGGGCTCAGCTGAGGACGGGAGCACATCTGATATAGTTTAGATGTCGGTGTCCTCCATATCTCCTGTTGACATGTGACCCTCAATGTTGGAGATGGGCCATTCACCCCCATCACCCAAACACCTCCCACCAGGGTCCAACACTGAGGACACAGGCCTTATGCTGAAATGTGATCTTCAGTGTTGGAGATGGGCCTGGTGGGAGATGTTTGAGTCTTGGGGGTGGATTCCTCGTGAACACTTGGTGCCCTTCCCATGGTAATGAGTGAGTTCTTGCTCTTCAAGTTCATGCAAAAGCTGGTTGTTTAACAGAGGCTGTCGCCTTCCCCACTTTCTCTCCTGCTCCCTCTCTTGCCATGTGACATGTGACATGTGACATGCCCGCCCCCCTTTCACCTTCCACCATCATTGGAAGCTTCCTGAGGCCTCACCAGAAGCAGATGCTGGTGCCACGCTTCTTGCATCGCCGGCAGAACTATGAGAAAAATAAACCTCTTTGGAAATTACCCTGCCTCAGGTGTTCTTTTATAGCAATGCAAAAGGGACTAACACAACATTCATGTGAGAAAACTATTTTCAAGGCTCAGAAATTAACCACCTAAAAAGACTGGAGATAGTGCTGCACGGCACTCACATAGAGCCAGGAATAGCGCTACTTCCTAACAGCCAGTCTGAAAAACGTCAAGATTCTCAGGGCATTGGGTTGAATACCCAGAAGTATTTCCCATACTTAGCCACAGACTGAGCATGGACCTGATCCCACGTTATACATATTAAAAGCAANAAAAAAAAAAAAAAAAAAGATCAAACTGTTCCCAAGTAACGCAACTACATCCTAAAACAAAAGTTAAGAATATTTACAAAGTACAAAGATATCCAGCCCTCAACCCTGAATAAAAACCAACCAGGCATGTAAAGACTTAAGAAAATGAGACCCATAATGAAGAGATCATTGAAACCAACCAACCAACATCTAGCATAGATGTTAGAATTGACAGAAACAGCTATTTAGTAAAACAGTTATTCCAACTGTGTTTCAAATGTTCAAAAAGTGAAGTAGAAACATGTAATATATATTTAAAAAGACACAAAATGGAACCTCTAGAGATAAAAACTACAATATATAAGATTAAAAAAAAACACTAGATGAGATTAATGGCAAATTAGATACTGCAGAATGAAAAAACAGCAAATTTGAAGATCTAGCAATAAAAAAAAAAAAAATAAAAAAAAAAGGGAAAAGAAAAAAAAAAAAAAAAAAAAAAAAAAAAAAAAAAAAAACACAGTAAAAGAGCTGTAGGGCAACTTTAAGTGTCCAAATATGTGTAATTGGAGCTCCTAAAGGAGAAGACACAGAGTATGATACAAATAAAATATTTGAGAAAAATAATGGCTAAAAATTCCCCACAGTTAATAAAAGTCATAAACCCATGTATCCAAAAAGCTAAGTGAGCCCCAAGCAGAAATAAAGAAACTACATCAAGCCATATTATAACCAAACTGCTCAAAACCAGTGATATAAAGACAAATCTTGAAAAAAGCCACAGGAAAAAAAAAGCACATTACATATAAAGGAACAGAGATAAGGATGATGGCAGATTTCTCACTGGAAATAATGCAGGTGAGAATACAGTGGAGCAATGTTTTAAAATTACTAAAAACTGTCAAGTTAGAAATATACATCCAGCAAAAGTATTACTCCAAAACAAAAGGGAAATAAAGATATTTTTAGACTTAAAAACTCTAAAAGAATTCACCATAAGCAAAAAACACAAGGAATATAGACAAAGGAATGAAGAGCTTTGGAAATGATACCACATGGGTAACCGTGTAATTTTTATTACTTAAATCTCTTTTAAAGATAATTGTTAAAACAAAAATCACAATGTGATGTGTGAATGACATACGTAAAATTAAAACATTTGATTACAATAACACAAAAGTCAGAGGAGAGGAATGGAATTACACTATTGTAAGGTTTTTATTCCTTATAGAAGCGCCATAATATCACTTGAAATTAGATTGTGGTAACTTAAACATGTATTATGAACACTAAAGCAATAAACAATAAAAAGCAACAGCTAATAAACCAGCAAAAGATAGAAATTGGAACCATTTAAATGTTTAATAAATCCAAAAGAAGGCAGATAAAAAAGAGGACAAAGATCAGATGGGACAAATAGAAAACAGAAAAGTAACATTTCGAACCAAACTATATCAATAATCATATTAAATGTAAATAGTCTAAAATACCCTTATTAAATGGCAAAAATCATCACATTGGATTAAAAAGTGAGGCTCTACTATATGCTCCCTATGAGAAATGCACTTCAAATGTAAATAAACAATAGCTTAAACATATAAGTGTAGATAAGGCAAACAGCAACCATAAGAGTTGGAGTGGATCTACCAATATTAGACAAAAGAGCCTGAAGACAGTGGAAGAGCTATCCCATTTGTGCTGAGACCTGCAGGGAGCCCTGTCCAGCACCTCCCGCTGCAGTCATGGAGCTGTCTACTGATGCGGTGTCCTCCTGGGAAACACGCCTTCAGATACAAGACTGGGCTCTCCAGCTTCTATCCCAAGAGGGCCCAGTCATAGCTCCAGACCCTCTCTCTGCAGTCCGGTAACTATTCTACCTGTGCAGGAACTTGCTGGGTGACACACACCCCTCTGAGCCGAGACTGAGCCCTTCGGTATCTGTCTTCACAGCAGTTCCTATGAGGGCCCGGATTCTACTCCAGTGCTTGCTGATAGCTGGGGAACTAGCCTGTCTATGCAGGGACTTACTAGAAGATGCATGCCCATCTCAGCCAATGTGGCAGGCATGCCAGCCTCCATCTCATAGCAGACCTGAAGAGGCCCGGTCTTGGATCTAGCTCCTCCTGTTATGGGTAAGAAACGACTCCAGTTGTACAGAGACTTGCTGGGTAACACGGGCCTGTCTCAGCCAATGAGAAAGGCCCATCAGCCTCCTTCCCAGAGCAGATTCCGAAAGGGTCTAGTCTCAACTTCTGCCTCTCTTGCTATAGCTGGGGACCCAACCTATGCAGAGACCTGCTTGGAAGTAAACTTGTCTGGGCCACTAGGACAGTCTTCAGGACTCAGGTTCCTGGGGTCAGTGTTCCCATATAACACAAGCATTGTCCTTGTGTCTTCCCCAGGTCCATTTGGGCCAGAAAGCCACAAAAACCGCAGAGCCCTTGTGAGACTCATAGCAAGCCTGGGTATAGAGCATCGTCTACTGCTGAGATGACTGTGGTGATCACAGAAAGGGAACACGATAGTCAGAATCAACACTTAGAATCCCTGGAAGGCCCTCTGTAGAAGTACAGGTACAAACAAAGCCAGACTAGGAAGACTCAAATGAGTATTTAATCTCTCACTGTGCAGATATCATCACACTTCAAGCATCAAGAACAGTCAGGGAAATAGAATGTCAAAGGGACAAAGTAAGGCACCAAGACTGGCCCTAAAATGATGAAAATTGTGATCTCTTGGACAAGTAATTCAAAACAATAGTTTTAAGGAAGCTCATTGAACTTCGAGAAAGCTCAGAGAAATCTCTCAGAGAAAGTTCACAGAAATATTTAAAAAATAAAATTAAATTCTGGAGGTAAAAAATGCAATGAATGAAATGAAAAAAATGCAATAGAGAATATCAGAGGAATTGATCAAAATAAGAAAGAATCAGTGAGCTCAAAGGCAGACTATTTGAAAATACACAGTCAGGGCCAGGTACAGTGGCTCATGCCTGTAATCCCAGCACTTTGGGAGGCTGAGGCAGGCGGATCATGGGGTTAGGGGATTGAGACTATCCAGGCTAACACAGCCAAACCCTGTCACTACTAAAATACAAAATATTATCTGGGTGTGGTGGCACATGCCCGTAGTCCCAACTACTCGGGAGGCTGAGGCAGGAGAAGTGCTTGAACCCAGAAGGCAGAGATTAAAGTGAGCCAAGATCATGCCATTGCACTCCAGCCTGGTGACAGAGCAAAACTCTGTCCCAAAAAAAAAAAAAAAAAAAAAAAAAAAAAAAAAAAAAAAAAAAAAAAAAAAAAAAAAGAAAGAAAAAAAGAAAAAAAAGAAAAGAAAATACACAGTCAGAAGAGAAAAAAAAAGAATGGGAAGGAATGAACAAAGCTTATGGGACCTATTGACCAACATCAAAAGAGCAAATATTTGGGTTAGTGGAGTTAAAGAGAGAACTGAGAAAGACAAGAGGTAGCAAGCTTATTTAAAGA